TGTCCTACATTAAGTTAATTCCATTTTGGTCATCTGAACCTATTTCCGTATATGAGAAAGGGATGTTAGGTTTCCAGTGTTAACAGAAAGGCCTAGCCATAAAACACTTGATTATGCTTTTGCTGTGGTCAAATGAGATCATTTAGAATTGAACAAAATTTTTTTCTCATCATATGTAATATATTGAGGTCAGCCTGAAGTAACAGAATGGAAATCTCTGAATAGTCCCAACATTAGTGAACATTACATCAAAGAGTAAAAAAGAATTATTATATACTTTTTTAAAAATAAATTTATTTTTAAATTTTCATTCATTTATTTTTGGCTGCATTGAGTCTTTTGTTGCTGCGCACAGGCTTTCTCTAGTTGCGGTGAGCGGGGGGCTACTCTTCGTTGCGGTGCGTGGGCTTCTCATTGTGGTGGCTTCTCTTGCTGCAGAGCAGGGGGACTCTAGGTGCACAGGCTCAGTAGTTGTGGCATGCGGGCTCTAGAGCACAGGCTCAGTAGTTGTGGTACACAGGCTTAGCTGCTCCGCAGCATGTGGGATCTTCCCGGACCAGGGATCGAACCCGTGTCCCCCTGCATTGGCAGGCAGATTCTTAACCACTGCACCACCAGGGTAGTCCCGAGTATTATAGACTCTTTGACAAGTCACATCTGTATATGTTGTTAGTGAAGAAAAAATTTTGTATCCTATATATTAAGAAGCTATAAAATAACACAAGTTGGGAGAAGAGAAATAAGATGAATGGAACACTGTTATTTTCTACATGTTCTTTAAATGGATGTAGCAAGAACCTTTTATAAAAGTTTTATAAAACTCTGATCTTCTCATTGCCCCCTTTCCAAAGACGTCAAACAAGAGGAAATTATAGAATAAGTCTGTGTAAATTTTAAATGGTTCAGTTATCAGAAGACTTTAGAGAGCAAGTTTTCCACAAATTATCCTTGTGCTATTTGGTCTTGATTTTTTTTAGAGGGTTGGTGAGCCAACATGTAATTAATCACTTTTTTTGGTTGTTGGCTTGTAAGGAAATGAAACTGCAACTTTCCCTTTGGCTTTATTGTTCTTCTTTTGGTGTTTCTTAGTGCTGCAATATGTAACATAAGAAACTTATATGGGTGCTTAGTGATAATGTGGATACAACAATGTGAAAGAAGTATTTTTTTTAAGTCATCTTATATATTTTGTACTGTTATGGTACCTGTGTACACTCCAGGTCTCAGATACCACCAGCATTACTATGAAAGTCTTACAGTCAGAAGTTGTTAGAACATCCCTTGTCAGTGGATGGGGTTACTCATCAAGTGGCAGTATCCACTTCTTACCAATTCTTATTGTTTCTTCCTCCAAAATCTAGTTTGGATTGATTATTCCTTCCCTGAAGCTGCTACCACAATCAGTGAATAAGAACAGACCCATCTCATCTTGTAAATAAGGGGTAGGAACACCCTTCCAACTAGCTTCACTTCTTTGGGCTCTATTCCATCTGTGTAGTGAACTACCTTCCCTGTGGCAATTGGACACTATTTTATTTATTTATTTTTAAATTTTTAAAATTTATTTTATTTATGTTTTGGGTGCTTTATAAATAAATAAATATTTTATTTATTCTTCGTTGCTGCACACAGGCTTTCTCCAGTTGCGGCCAGTGGGGGCTACTCTTTATTGAGGTGCGCGGGCTTCTCATTGCAGTGGCTTCTCTTGTTGCGGAGCACGGGCTCTAGGCAGGCAGGCTTCAGTAGTTGTGGCTTGCGGGCTCTAGAGCGCAGGCTCAGTAGTTGTGGTGCACGGGCTTAGTTGCTCCGCGTCATGTGGGATCTTCCTGGACCAGGGCTTGAATGCGTGTTCCCTGCATTGGCAGGCGGATTCTTAACCACTGCGCCACCAGGGAAGCCCTGGACACTATTTTAAAAATTAAGCATTATAATGACTAATTACTGTCATTATTAAAAATTCATATAAAGTTTAAAGACAAACACCTGTATGTCAGCAGGCACCTTCCTTTAACTTTTAATAATTTGAAATCGTTTTTCCATTTTTAAGCAGAACAGAAGATTCCCCTTAAACCAACAGGTTTAGGGAAATTCCAGTAGACTCTATGAAGATTTAAAAAATATACATCCATCGGCATCTGATCCCTGTCTCTTCCCTCCTCCCAAAGCACAGACCTCAAGGATGGCCGTTGTTCTACCTTAATGGTAACAATTAATAAAAAAGATATTAAGTTCCAAAAAGCTAAACTCTTTGGTTTTGGTATTTAGGATAATGCTGGCCTATAAATGAGTCGAGAAGTATTCCATCCTCCCCTGTTTTCTGAAAGAGTTTGTGTAGGATTGTACTGTGGTTTGAATTGTGTTCCCCCAAAAGATAGGTTGAAGTTCTAACCCCTATACCTCAGAATGTGACCTTCTTTGGAAACAGGGTCATTAGAGATATAATGTTAAGATGAAGTCATAATTAAGGTAGACCTTAATGCAATATGACTAATATCATTATAAGAAGAGACACTGGCATGCAAGGGGAGAATGTTGTGTGAAAATAGAGGCAGAGACTGAAGTACCACAGCTGCAAACCAAGGAGCACCAAGGATTGCTGGCAAAGCACCAGAAGGTAGGATTAGGCAAGGAAGGATTCTCCCCTGTGGGTTTCAGAGTGAGTGTAGCCCTGCCAACACCCTGATTTTGGACTTCTAGCCTCCAGAGCTGTGAGGCAAATTCTGTTGTTTAAACAGTCACCTAGTTTGTGGTACTTTGTTATGGCAGCCCTAGGAAACTAACATTGTATTAGGAAACTAATATTGTATTTTTTTCTTTCAAGTTTGATAGAATTCATCCAGTGAAATTGGATGCAGAGTTTTCTTTGTGGAAAGATTTTAAATTATGAATTCAATTTCTCTAAGAAATATTGGGCTGTATAGATTTTCTGTTTGTTCTTGTATCTATTTTGGTAACTTGTATATATCAAGGAATTTGTTCATTTCATCTAAGTTATTGAATTTATTGGCATAAAGTTGAGTTATAATATTTTTTGATGTCTATAGGATCTGTAATGATGTTTCCTCTTTTCTTCCTCATATTGGTTATTTGTGTCTTTTTATTTTCTTTCATCAGTCTGGCTTAGGGTTTCTCAACTGGGGGCAGTTTTGCACCCTCCCTCCTGGGGTTGTGGGGCATTTGGCAATATCTGGAGACATTTTCAGTTATTACAACTTGGGGCATCCAGTGGGTGGAGGCCAGGGATGCTGCTGAACTAAACATCCTGCCATGCACAAGACAGCCTCTCACAACAGAGACTCATCCAGTGCACAGTGTCACTAGTGCTGAAGTTGGGAAACCTGTTCTAGGGCTTGCAGTGTGTACACCTTCTACTTTGGAATATTACGCCACTTCATGTTTAATATAAGCAGCTCTATCATACAGTATTTCCATCCTTTATGCTATTATGGGCATACATTTTACTTCCATTTATATTGTAAACCCCACAGTGCATGGGATTTTGCTTTAAACAGTCTATTAAGGAAATTTTTAAATGAGGAAAAAATACCTAGTTGTTGTTTGTATATTTTTAGCACTCTTCATTTTTTGTATAGATCCAAATTCCCATTGGTGTTTTTTCTTTCCACATGAAGAGCTGCTCTAACGTGTCTTGAAGTGTAGGTCTGCCAGTGACATATTCTCTCAGCTTTTGTTCGAAAAACTGTATTTTGTCTTCATTTTTCAAGTACGTTTTGGCTTAGTATAGAATTTTCCATTGACAGTTTTAAAAAATATTCTAAGATATCATTCCATTGTTTCCTTATTTGCCTAGATTATAATAAGAAACATAACTATTCACAAATATAAGGCTTTAAAAAATCTGTATACTTTAGAATAGTATTTCATTATTATTGAACAAAATAACTTAAAATTTAATGCAATGTGCTTAGATTTTATAAACAGACCTGTTCTTGTAATTTTTTCCTCCTTTTCCCCCTTCACTTATAAAAAGTGTTTTTGGGGGCAAGTTATTTCTGTTTTCTCATCTGTAAGATTGGGCTACCGGTGATTCTCATAGGTTCGTTGTGAAAGTTAAAAGAGAAAAAAAGAGAAAAATGAAAAAAAATGTCTAGAGCTTGAAGGTATTCATAAACATGGTAGCATGGTACACGGGTATCTTCCTCCTCATCCACCTTCAGCTCTCCTGACCTCAAGGCCCACGCGGGGCAGCAGATCAGTGGGAGCCCCCAGTCTGAGTCCTGCCCTGCCTCATGGCAGCAGCTTTGTGGAGACATGTTCCTGCCGTCCACACACTGTCCAGAAGCCACAGGCAAACTGAGGAGCCCTGGCTGGACCATGACTGAGCACTGTTGGCACTGCTTATGATTTCTGCTCCTACCAATAGTTTACATGTTGATTTTAAATAAATCTCATATTTTACCCAAGTAAGGTACTTTCATCTGTTAATTTAAATTACCTGAATATAGTAAAAATCCATGACATTATATTTTACATGATTTGCGTTTTCCACTTTTCAATTATGCAGACTAGCTATGGTATTTAAAGTAACACATTTACATATTAGGAAAATTTTAGACATAATTAACAGTTTTGGATGGTGGAGCTTGTAATCAACAGTAAAAATAATTCCAGTGGCTCTAATTACCTTAGAATATACAATAATGATATTCACATTAAAGGATGCATTCATTAAAATGTTCCTTTCTGTCCAACGAGAGAATCTAATTGGGTATGGTAGACTTCTTTTTATAAATAACATTTTGCTTTCATTAAGAGGTAATAGATCTGCTGGGACTTCCCTGGTGGTCCAGTGGTTAGGACTCCACGCTTCCAATGTAGGGGGTGCGGGTTCAATCCCTGGTCAGGGAACTAAGATCCCACATGCCACAAAAAAAAGAGTTGATCAATCTGCTATTTTTGGTCCCTACCTGGCCACAGGCAGCAGCACTCTGACAGCTGTTTTAAATATCCCCTCACGGTGTTGCCGTTCTTCTTCTCAGTGGGCCTTTGGAGTGACGCTGTGGGAGCTCATGACTCTGGGCCAAACACCCTACGTGGACATCGACCCGTTTGAGATGGCCGCGTACTTGAAAGACGGTTACCGAATAGCCCAGCCGATCAACTGTCCTGATGAACTGTAAGTTTTTTCTGAACTTGAAGACATGGATTTCATTCCATTTACGACATTTGGATAAAAGAAAAAGAACAGGTGTCCATACTTGTACAGAGACTTCCCTTTTGAGAATAATGCCTCTTTGGACTTGAATTATACTCCTGTAGAGAAACTACAAAGTCAGCCAGACTCATTCATTCTTTTTAAGGCATTTGACATTAGGACTTTTTGCATCTCATATTTGTAGTGATTAATCTAATCCAAGAGACTTATGTACATAGTGAGAAAACACTGAACACTGTCGGTTTTCCTGTGTAGAGTGAGGACCTACACAGCCTTAAGGACATCCTTAGTTATAAAGAGCCTTTCTCATTGCTGTCGTGCCTTGCCAGCTGGTGTGAACTGATATAGTTCCTGTTTCCTGCTTTTATCACATAGCTAGTCTTCCCATATAATGGGATCAGAGTGGGCAGGAGGCTGTTCAGGGGTGATTGAGTCTCAGTTCCAGTATCCCCTGAAGGTTTTTATATTGTGGCAAGGTAGCAGCTTTTGCACAGATTTTACTGTAGATCCAGGATTCTTACAGTTTAGTTAAAGGTTCCTCTTCCTCCAAGTTCTTTCTTTCAGAACTCAAATACAGTTGACCCTTGAACAATGTGGGTTTGAACTATGTGGGTCCACTTACGTGTGGATTTTTTTCAGTGACAAATACTACAGTACTACATGGTCCATGGTTGGTTGAATATGCAGATGAGGGGGAACTGGAGATATGGAGGGCTAAACTATAAGTTATGCGCAGATTTTTATGCAGAGGGTCGGCGCCCCTCACCCCTGTGTTGTTTAAGAGTCAACTGTACAGGATAGCACAGGTTATTATTTTGACTGTGTTTTAGGTAGTTATATACAATCTCTATTTGCTGATATATTTTGACGTGTTTCAGAACTGAAATCCACAGATATCATCCAGATAATTCATTTTAGCTCTGCCAACAGATAGTAATATTGATTGATTTTTTTAATATATCATCCTCTCCACACCCACATTTAGATAGATAACATAACTGGTAACATATTGACCAAAAGGTTAGGAGTACTATATCATCACTAGCCAAATTTTCTGGTCTTGTCACTCTGCAGATTTGCTGTGATGGCTTGTTGCTGGGCCTTAGATCCGGAGGAGAGGCCCAAGTTCCAGCAGCTGGTCCAGTGTCTCACAGAGTTCCATGCAGCCCTGGGGGCCTACGTCTGATTCCTCTTACAGTCCCCCAGCGTCAGCA